TTCCAGATCTTAGCTATGGTGAATTGTGCTGCTATGAACATAGGGGTGCATATATCCTTTCTGATTGGTGTTTCTGGTTTCTTGGGATATATTCCTAGAAGTGGGATCACAGGGTCAAATGGGAGTTCCATTTGTAGTTTTTTGAGGAAACTCCATAATGTTCTTCACAGTGGCTGCACCAGTCTGCATTCCCACCAGTGCCTTTTTTATTAAATGGTGACTTAAAATGCTACTTTCTCCTTAACTGAATTTATGAATGAACTTAGATTTTTGTCTCATATTTTAATTACTGGAGTTTTATGATAAAAAGATGTAAGAGCTATTCCACTATGACTACTGTTAGTGTTGGGGTTTTTTTGGGAATTTTCCTCCATATGCTTGCCTGCTTATTTTCCGCCACCCTTGGGAGCACTTCATTTCTAAAAAATCTGAGAGCACGTTTTCGAGATAGCATTAAATATAGATTGCTGGAGGCGGAACTGACACTTGGCTAAAAATGTATGATTCCTGCTCTCCAAGAACAGGAATATCTAAGTTTGCTATATAAAATTTTACCCATCTCTGTCTTCCAAAAGCTTTATTGGTTTCTTTTCCATTTATAATCTACCTTGGGTATTTTTGTATGGTATTAATAAGGCTTAAGAGTAATTTTTGTTATTGCAAATATCAATCAACTTGGTTTTTTTTTTTTGTTTTTAAAGGGGAGGCATATTTGTTGGGTCACTCTGCTGAAGGATCCTGCAAAGGGAGAGGGGCAGCAGGAAGTATCCTGGCCTTAGCCAAGCCCCATAGGAGGCTGTATGTGAGAAGGAATTCAGCCTTTACTGCTTAGCCGTTGCCGGGCAGATATCACCTCTGCCCAAAGGTTTCTGCAGCCAGTCCCCTCAGTCTTTTTTTTTTTTTTTTTGCAGGGATGGTACACGTGTCTCTGTCATCATTGACTTCTGGTGTCTCTTGGGGTCTGGGCAGAGGACCACATCCCCAGGCTGTGAATATTACTTTGGAGGGATCTAGACTCTGGGGTCTGCAGGGGTTCACTCTGACCATCCTGGGCAGTCTGTCTGACAGCTGCTGTGGCTGCTGTGATGGTTACTTTCACGTGTCACCTTGAGCTAGGCCAGGGGTCCTCAAACTACGGCCCACGGGCCACATGCAAATACAAATATTGTATTTGTTCCCATTTTGTTTTTTTATTTCAAAATAAGATATGTGCAGTGTGCATAGGAATTTGTTCATAGTTCTTTTTAAACTATAGTCTGGCCCTCCAACGGTCTGAGGGACAGTGAACTGGCCCCCTGTTTAAAAAGTTTGAGGACCCCTGAGCTAGGCCATGGTGCCCAGCTGTTTGGTCAAACACCAGTCTAGATACTTCTGTGTGATGTTTAGATGGGATTCACTTTAAATCAGTAGCCTTTGAATGAATCAGATTCCCTTCATAATGTGGGTGGGCCTCATCCCATCAGTGGAAGGCTTAAAAGAAAAGACTGAGATTCCCCAAGAAGGAAGGAATGCTGCCTCAGGCTTGAGCTGCGATATCAACGCTTTCCTGAGTCTCTCCCGCCTGCCAGCCTGCCCTAAAGATGTCTCACTTGCCAGCCCCGACGATCAGGTGAGCCAGGTCCTTAAAACAGCGGTCGCCAACCTTTTGGACCTCACAGACCAACAGTGGTCTGCGGACCACTGGTTGGCGACCGTTGCCTTAAAACAAATCCCTCTCCCTCTCCATCCTATTGGTTCAGTTTCTCTAGAAAACCCTGGCTAGCACCTGCGGGTAAGAGCTGCGGCCTCGTTTCATTTCTGGTTCTCCGTGGTGGTTTTGCCCGCTGCAGACAGAGGCATGGGGCAGAGACCGCTCTGCTCTGCCACCTTTCAACGGGAAGGACGTCTTTGGGGCAGCGGGTGATAAGGCTCGCTGTCAGCCAGGCGGGCAATGTTCCAGCTCCTGGTTCTGAAGGGAAGGGCTGCTTACCGTTCATTTTAAAAGCTGGGCCTTCATGTCGGCCACTCAGGCTGAGACTGCTGCCCACACATACGTGGTAATGCTCACAGGCTGCGGGCTTCAGCCTGGCCCCTTGAGGGGAAACACTAATTCAGTCCATCAAAGTAATAACCAGGCTCCTGGCCTAGCGCGTAACAAACACTCAAAGCCCCATCTGCTGGAGGAGGAGATGGCCCTGGAAGGCCATCCTGTCCTGTCCCAGCCCGCCCCCCACCTCGTCCCCAGCCCCTGCCCCACCCTGCAGGCACCCGTGCATTTTTCACGCCAGGGCTGCACGCATTGAGGTCTCACACAAGGACACAGGCAGACGTGGTTTATAAAAATCATCGTGATTTAATAAATAGTGAGGTGTTTCTGTGCAGCTTCCTCACAGTCTGTCCCAGAGCCTGAGGGGCCCATGTGGATGCGCCTGGGCCGAGCTTCCTGCTGGCCTCCCGGGAGAACTCGGTGAGCGACCGCCGCTGCGTGTCCTAGAAACGCCCCTTCTCTGAAGAGGGCCTGGGAGAGGGGCCCAGTCATATAAAAATATAGCTTATCTGGGGCCTCTGCATGGTCGGGCTCCACTACACGTCCCCCTGGTGGGCCTGGGCTGTCCTGGCCGCGGAGCAGACTCTCTCACAGACTTTGAGGAGCTCTGACAAGATGAACACGGATGAGGCCAACGCGGTTAAGAGCAACAAGTCTGTGAAAAGGTGAGGAGACAAAAGGGTCAGCTCTGCCCCCAGAGTTGGGCAGTGCCCAGCACGGAGGTGGCTGCGGGCCTCCCATGCAGCTCTCAGGACCCCTTACTGCGGAGCTGCTCCCTACACCTCGTTCTAATTAGAGAGACAGGCAAGGGGGCGGCCAGGAGCCAGGGACAAACCCTTCCATGTCCCTGAGCAGCTCCACAAGGGCCAGTAGCCTTTCTAGGGGGTTCAGGGCAAGGGGCAGAGGGGAGGGGCAGTGGGCAGGTCACCCAGGCCGGCTGCCCCTTAACCATCACTCTGGCCCAGCCCACCCTGGCTTGTTCTGTGGGTTAATTCTTAAAGAACCCCCACCCCCCTGTATATTATTGCTCAGAACCATCCCTGCTCCCTGTTGCCAACCATTTGGGACAAGTGGTGCCTAGTCATGGTGTTGCCTTCAGAGCTGGTGAGCTGGCTTCATTCCCAGTGGATGGAAACATCCACGAAGGGCGGGGTCTTTTGTCTGTGCCCACAGGGTGGTCACAGGAGACCCAGGAGGACACTGCTTTTTAGATTTGGGGAAGAAAGCTGATTTCCCCAGTCTTGCCTCAGACCCCGTGCTC